TCGAATTCCTAGGAATCCTTAGGAATTCCTAAGAATCTTTAGGGATTCCTAAGAACCCTTAGGCATTCCTAGGAATCCTTACGAATTCACGGGAATCCTTCGGCATTCCTAGGACTCCTCAGGCATTCCTAGGAATCCTTACGAATTCCTAGGAATCATTCGACATTCCTATGAATTCTTACACATTCCTAGGAATCCTTAGGAATTCCTAGGGATCCTTGGGAATTCCTACTAATCCTTCGGAATTCCTAAGAATCCTTGCGAACTCCTAGGAATCCTTAGGAATTCCTAGGTATCCTCAGGAATTCCTAGGAATCCTTACGAATCCCTAGGAATCCTTACGAATTCCTCGGGATCTTTAGAAATTCCTAAGAATCCTTCGGAATTCCCTGGGATCATTCGGAATTGCTCGGAATCCTTAGGAATTCCTAGGAATCCTTTGGAATTCCTACAAATCCTCAGGAATTCCGCAGAATTCGTAAGAATCCTTAGCAATCCTCAGGAATTCATAAGAATCGTTCGGGTTTCCCAGGAATCTTTCGGAATTCCTAGGAATCCTTAGGAATTCCTGAGAACCCTTAGGAATCCTTACGAATTCATATGAATCCTTAAGCATTCCTAGGAATCCTTACGGAATCCTTGCGAATTCCTAGGAATCCGTAGGCATTCCTAAGAATCCTTACGAATTCCTAGGAATCCTTCGGAAATCCTAAGAATCTTTAAGAATTCCTCAGCATCCTTTGGAATGCCGAAGAATCCTTACGGATTCCTAGGAATCCTTAGGAATTCCTGAGAATATTTAGAAATTCCTAGGAATCCTTTGGAATTCCTAGGAATGCTTCGGAATTGCAAGGGATCCTTAGGAACTCCTAGGAATCCTTAAGAATTCCTAGGAATCCTTTGGAATTCCTAGGAATCCTTAGGGATTCCTAAGAATCCTTAGGCATTCCTAGGAACCCTGAGGCATTCCTAGGAATCCTTAGGAATTCCTAAGAATCCTTTAGAATGCCTAAGAATCCTTACGGATTCCTAGGAATCCTTAGGAATTCTTATGAATCTTTAGGTATTCCTGGGAACCCTTTGGAATTCCTAGGAATGCTTCGGAATTTCTAGGAATTCTTAGGAACTCATAGGAATCCTTAGGAATTCCGAGGAATTCCGAAGAATGCTTCGAATTCTTAGCAATCCTTCGGAATTCCCTGGGACCCTTGGGAATTGCTAGGGATCTTCAGTACTTCCTAAGAAACCTTTGGAATTCTAAGGAATCCTTAGGAAATCGTGAGAATTCCTAAGAATCCTTAGGGATCCTTGGGAATTCCTGGGCACCCTTCGGATTTCTCAGGAACCCTTAGGAATTCCTAGGAATGCTTCGGAATTCCCAGGGGTTCCTAGGATAGGAATCCTGTGGGATTCCTAAGGAGCCCGATGAATTCTTAGGAATCCTTAGGAAGTCATATGAAACCTTTAGGAATCGTTAGGAATCGTTAGGAAGTCCTAGGAATCGTTAGGAATTCCGGTTGTTGTGAATGTTGTGTGTGAAGGGGGGACACGGGTCGGGGCGCCCCGCCCTCACTAACAACAGCAACAACAGCGACAACAACAACAACAACAACAACAACAACAACAACAACAACAACAACAACATCAACGACGACGACGACAACAACAACAATCAATACAAAACTGTTCGCTCTTACTTGCCCGTGTGGTATCCAAAACGAATTCCCCACACCCTAGATACCCGCCCTTTTTGTCTTCGATCACACCCCCTTTGAAGGATTCTTTCTCTTTGCGGGGGACGGCGGGCTTAGACAGGCGGGCAAACCTGAACGGGCGGACCATCCTTCGTGGGCGTACATGTGCCCGCCACTGGAATTTGTACGGGCCCACCAAAGAGAGGAGGGGGGGAACGAGGGAGAGTGGGAGGAAGGGAAGGGAAGGGCCGAAGAAAGATGAAAAACGCCAGGAGAGACGGAGCGAAGAGGGGGGCAGTTGAGTAGAGAGAGAGAGAGAGAGAGAGAGAGAGAGAGAGAGAGAGAGAGAGAGAGAAAAAGAAAGAGAGAGAGAGAGAGAGAGAGAGCGAGAGAGAGAGATATACATACATATAAGGGAGGCAGAGAAAGAGAGAGAGAGAGGGCAGAGAGAGGGAAAACATAAAAAGAAAAAGGGAAGGAGGAGGCAAGAGAGGGGAGGGAGAAGGGAGGAGGGAGAGGAGGGAGAGGGGATAGGGCAGAGAGGCATGAGGATGAGGGGAGAGAGGAGGGAGAGAGAAGGAAGGAGATGAGGGAGGAGGGAGGAGGGAGAGGGGGAGGAGCAGGAAGGTAAGAGCGTGAACGTTCGAGGAAATCCTAAGCGAAAGCGCCGCTCCTGAAGGAAATCTCGGGAACCCACGACGCGCGGGCGATCCCGTGACGGGCGGGTCGGGCGGGTGGGACATGCAAGCGGGATGCCTGAGTATGGCGAGAGCGCGATTGCTAAGTGAATTGTAGCGGCGTCTTTGGCGCAACGTGTTTCCTGAGCATCGTTGGCGCGATGTCTGACAAAATTGCAAGGAAATCGCAGGCGAGAGCGCAATTCCTGAATAACATGTGAGGGGTTCTCTGGCGGGAACGGGGGTCTTGATTCAATTGCGAGGAAGTCTTGGCTCAATTGCGGGGACGTTTCAAGCGGGAGCGCCGTTCCTGAGTAATATGTGAGGAAGTCTCAGATGGGAGCGGGGGTTCTGACTAAATTGCGAGGAAGTCGCAGGCGGGAGCACCGATCTTGAGTAAATTGTGAGGGAGCGGGAGTCTTGAGTAAATTTGGAAGTCTCAGGCGGGAGCCGTTGTTGTAATCCGGGGGGCCAGGGGGCCCATTTTGAGCACGAAGACTTTCCCTGTCAAAAAACAGGGTGCGAGCGTCGATGGGGGGATCCACAATAATTATTCTTCAGAAATGAGAATTCAACAACAACAATCATTTTAAGACTGTTCGCCCTTATCTGCCCGAGTGTCCAATAACGCGTAATTCCCAAACCCTCGATACCCGTCCTCTTCGTCTTCGATCGAACCTCTTTTGGGGTGTATACCTTTCTTCCCTGCAGGCCGGGCCCCGGCAAGCGGCGGGGCGGCCGCGGACCGTCGGCCTGGCCAGCGGCAGCGCTGATCGGCGGGGCGGCCGCGGACCGTCGACCCGCCCCAAGAGGGACGGACAGGGGACCTACCACGACGACGATGATGACGACGACGACGACGACGTCGACGGCGACGACGACGACGAGCGCAAGCGAGAGCGAGAGAGAACGACATTAGTAGGGCCACGAAGGACACGAAGTAGGCCACGAATGGCGACAGCGGGGACACGAAGGGAATGCGTATGGGGCCACGAAGAGCGCGAACGAGCGGAGGCCACGAAGGGCAGATAATGCGGGGCCACAGAAGGCAACGATGGGGCCACTGAGGGTAGCAACTGGGCCACGTAGGACAATGAGGGGGCCACAAATGGCGACAGCGGGGCCACGAAGGGCATGCACATGGGGCCACAACGGGCGCGAACGAGCGGGGGCCACGAAGAGCATACGTATGTTGGGCCGCGGAGGGCAAGCACGGGGCCGCTGAGGGCAGCAACGGGGCCATGAAGGGCAGCGAGGGGGCCACGAAGGGCGACAGCGGGGCCACGAAGGGCATGCATATCATATGGGGCCACCACGGGCGCGAACGAGCGGGGGCCATGGGGCCACGAAGGGCAGCGAGGGGGCCACGAAGGGCTGCAACGGGGTCACGAAGGGGAGCGAGGGGGCCACGAAGGGCTGCAACGGGGCCACGAAGGGCTGCAACGGGGCCACGAAGGGCAGCGACGGGGCCACGAAGGGCGGCAACGGGGCCACGAAGGGCAGCGAGGAGGCCACGAAGGGCTGCAACGGGGCCACGAAACGAAACAAAGCGAGGGGGCCACGAAGGGCTGCAACGGGGCCACGAAACAGAGCGAGGGGGCCACGAAGGGCGGCAACGGGGCCACGAAGGGTAGCGAGATCCCGATTCCCAAGTAATCTGTGAAGGAGTCCTAAGCGTGAGCGCGACTCCTGGGTGCCTGGGTGTCGGGAGCGCGGCGCTTGAGTAAATTGCAAGAAATTCCAGCGCAAGGGCGCTATTCGTAAATTGCAAGCAAGCCTCCAGCGAGAGCGCGACTCCAGAACGCCGGGAGAGTGATTCATGCATAAATTGTAAGGAAGTCCCAAGCGAGAGCACGATTCCTGAGTAACATGTGAGGATATCTCGGGCGGGAGCGGGGGTCCTGGCTAACTTGTGAAGAAGTCTCAAGCGGGAGCCGTTGTTGTTGTAACCCGGGGGCCAGGGGCCTAGTTTGAGCATCAAGACTTTCCCTGTCAAAAAAAAAGTACGAGCGTCGAGGGGCACACTTTATTGAGAAAAAACCTATGCACTGGTGGGGGGATCAACCATACATATTCTTCACGAGTGAGAGTTCAACAACAACAACAATAACAACAACAGCAACAACAACAGCAACAACAACAGCAACAACACACACACACGCGCGCGCGCAACAACAACAACACCAACAACAGCAACCACAACAGCAACAACAACAACAACAACAACAACACCACCACCAACAACACACCAAGAACAAGAAGGACGACGACAGCAACAACAAGCACAAACAAGCAGCACCAACAGCAATAACAATATCAACACCACCAACACCACCAACAACAACAACAACAACAACCAACAACCAACAACAACAACAACAACAACAACAACAACAACAACAGCAGCAACAACAACAGCAACAACAACAAACAACAACAGCAACAACAACAACAAAGAAGCGGCGTCCTCCTGCGCGTCCCCCTCTCTCGGTCTCCTCGTCGCGGTCCTCTTCCCTCGCCCTCCCCGCCCTCCCAAAGTCCTCCCAACGTCCTCCCTCACGTCCTCCCTCACGTCCTCCTCGCCCACCTTCCCCTCGCCCTCCTCGCCCTCCCCGCCCTCGCCCTCACCCTCGCGCGAGCCCAGAGAGGCTGCACGCGCCCAGGCGCGTGCACGAACGAGTGCCCCCCCCCCCAGCTCGCGAGAGGCCCGCCCTCGTGCCGCGGACGCTCGCGCCAGGCGCCCTCTCGAGGCTGCGTAACTTCGTGGAGGCTTGCGTCTCTCTGTCGCTCCCCCTCTGACACCTTTCAAGAAGCACCCCCTGCCTCCTCAGAAGGCCGCCCCCCGCGCACCCCCGCCCTCAGACCCCCCCCCCCTCTGCGTGCCTACGGCTCGCGCCCTCTCCAGCACCGCATGGCCCTTGCTCCACCAGCGCCACCCTGACGGGCACGTGCTCAGCCGACGGGGGCGTTGATCGGTGCAGGAAACTGGCGCTTCTCTGCCACTCCCCCGCGCCATCCCGCGCGGGAATGGCCGCCTGCGCGCCACTGTCCGCAGGCTGCGGGGGCCCCCGTCGCCAGGTACACCCGCCTCACTGGCGCTGACTCCAAGACCAAGAATCTGATTGCACGCCCTTGTCCCGCTCGCTCGAGGTCGGGCGCCAACTGTACACCTGCACAAAGCCCTGGGCAGGCCGATCCTGGGCCAAGGATCGCTGTGTGTGTGTGTGTGTATGAACGCATGTGCAGGTGCAGGTGCAGGTGCACACTGCTGGCGCCCTCCGATGCTCGCTCCGAGCGTGTCGCCCCGCCCCCGCCTGGCGGCGGCTCCTCTGGAGGCGGGGGCGGCCCCAGCGGGGCGTCCAGCGGCGGACCCGGCGGCGGCCCCGGCGGCAGCCCTGGCGGCGGCCCCGGCGGCGGCTGCGGCGGCGCCTGCGGCGGCCGCGGATCTGAAGCCCGAGACACGCGGCGCGGGGATCAGGGGTTTTCGGACGTCTTCGTTGGGGATTTCCTGCCTCGTGGTGCATTCCAGCAGCTGCGTCTCGCCGAGGGAATTACGGGGGTGCCCGGATCCTCCCGAACGGCCGCCGGAGACCCGAACTATGTCGCCCGGAACCCCACGCCCATTCCTGGCCTCTGCCCCCCCGCCCTTCCGCAACAGCGCCCATCCACAACGTTGTTAATTATCGTTGTTATCGTTGTGATCGTTGTGATCGTTGTTATCGTTGTTATCGTTGTGATCGTTATCGTTGTTATCGTTGTTATCGTTATCGTTATCGTTGATATCGTTGTTATCGTTGTCGATTGCGTCCCACACGCCGGGCCGCCTGGTCTGTTCGCTCGCGCGCGTGCCGTCCGCAGCACGAGCCAGTGTCCCCATTCTCGGCCTTCGGAGGGCGGCTTCGGGCATCGGGGCCGTCGGAGGGTCGGGGGCGTCCAGCAGGGTGGCGTCCAGGAGTGGGGTTCGCAAGGCACGGCCCCCGGCGGAGGGGCAGGGAACGTCTTGAGCGAAGAAGAGGGGGGCATGACATCGGGGAGATTTCCAGACCCAGACCGTGATATCCACACGCGCACGCACGCACTGAATTCTCACCACCCTGGGACGCCCCGGAAAAAAAGTACCTTGGCCAAGGGCCCAATCATATGCAGTTTGGAGTATCGCCGTGGTGGGTATCGCCTTCGGTGTATCTCCATATGAAGCCACGAAGCGTGCAAAAAGCATGCCGAAATGGGGCGGGGACGCATGCGGGCGCAGCAATTGGAGACTTCGGTGTCGCTCCATATGGGGCCACGAAGATGTGTGGGGTGTGCCGAAATAGGGCGGGGCCGCCATGCGAACGTCGCCACTGGGGCCTTCGGTGGAGCACCCTATGGGGCCACGAAGCGCATGAAGGGTATGCCGAATTGGGCGGGAGGGACGCGTACGAACGTCGCCACTGGGCCTTCCCTGGAGCTACCTATGGGGCCACGAAACGCGTGAGGGTGTGCCAAAATGGGCGGGGGGAGACCCATGTAACCACATCCAGCGGAGCCTTCGGTGTATCTCAATACGAGGTCACGAAGCGTGCAAAAAGCGTGCCGAAATGGGGCGGGGACGCATGCGGGCGCAGCAATTGGAGACTTCGGTGTCGCTCCATATGGGGCCACGAAGATGTGTGGGGTGTGCCGAAATGGGGCGGGGCCGCCATGCGAACGTCGCCACTGGGGCCTTCGGTGGAGCTCCCTATGGGGCCACGGAACGCATGAAAGGTATGCCGAAATGGGCGGGGGGGACGCATACGAACGTCGCCGCTGGGCCTTCTCTGGAGCGCCCTAATTATGGGGCCACGAAGCGCGTGAGGGTGTGCCGAAATGGGCGGGGGGAGACCCATGTAACCACATCCAGCGGAGCCTTCGGTCCCATGGGGCCACGACACGCTGTGCTAGGTGGCGCCGACGCATGTGGTCACATCCACTTGGGCCTTCAGCGGAGCTCCCTATGGGGCCACGAAACGCCGTACTGTGTGGCGCGGGAAGCATGTGGTCACAACCACTGGAGCGTTCGGTGGAGCTCCCCATGGGGCCACGAAACGCTGTGCTATTTGGCTCGGGACGCATGTGGTCACAGCCACTGGAGCGTCGGTGGAGCTCCCTATGGGGCCACGAAGCGCCGTACTTGGTGGCGCGGGACGCATGTGGTCACAACCACTGGGGCCTTCGGTGTAGCTCCCTATGGGGCCACGGAGCGCCGTGGTGTGTCGCGGGACGCATGTGGTCACAACCACTGGAGCGTTCGGTGGAGCTCCCCATGGGGCCACGAAGCGCCGTACTGGGTGTCGGGGGACGCATGTGGTCACAGCCACTGGGCCGTCTGTGGAACTCCCTATGGGGCCACAAAGCGCCGCACTGGGTGGCGCGGGACGCATGTAGTCACAACCACTCGGGCCTTCGGTGGAGCTCCCTATGGGGCCACGAAGCGCTGTGCTGGGTGTCGCGGGACGCAGGTGGTCACAGCCACCGGGACCTTCGGTGGAGTTCCCTATGGGGCCACCTGGGTGGCGCGGGACGCACGTGGTCACGTGGTCACAGCCACTGGTGCCTTCGGTGGAGCTCCCCATGGGGCCATGACACGCCGTACTGGGGTGACGCGGGACGCATGTAATCACAACCACAGGTGCCTTCGGCGGAGCTCCCTATGGGACCACAAAACACCGTATCGGGTGGCGCGGGACGCATCGTCAAGGTGTTCAGACCGCTCCAGACTACTCGGGGGGGCTGTTGAGGCCAGCTGGGCCTAGTCGGGGGGGGCTGTGGAGGCCAGCCGGGACTACCTGGGGGGGCGGTCCGTGCGCGACCCGAAGTCTTACCAATCTGAGTGCTCTTTCCCCGTCCCGACCCGAGAATAATACTCCTGGGCAGGCGAGATGGCTTCTGAGAAGGCCCCTGCCCTTCCAGAGGGCCTCCCGTCGTCTGGTGGGCCCCCCATGCGCCCTGCACGCGCCGACAGGGCTCCTGGGGACCCTGTATTGAATACATCAAGGCGTCGCATGTCTGGGAACGCTTGTTCGCCGTAGCGTGGACTTGTCCAACGAAGCTCTTCGACACAACGCAGGTGGAGCAATAAGGGGCGACACAGCCCAGGCCCTTATCATCGGCGGAGCTGCACGGGGTAACGCACACATTGGTCACTCGGCAGCGCCTCCGGCATCTGCATGTCTGGCGGCGGCCCTGGCGGCCCTTGCGGCGGGGGGGCTGACAGGATGGGCACCCCCATGTCCAGCGGCGGCCCTGGAGGGCCCAGCGGGAGCGGCACCTCCGGCCCCGGCGGCCCCGGCGGCGGCGGCCCGGGCAACATCGGGAGCGCCACGTCTGGAGGTGGCCCCGCTGGGCCCGGGGGCGGCCCCGGCGGCGCCAGGTCTGGCATGCCTGGGAACTGCGGCCCCGGCAGCACCGCCAGGTCCGGGGGCGGCGGCCCTGCGCGGGGCGGTCCGAACGGATCCGCCGTGCCTGGAGGCGCCCCCGGCGGGCCCTGGAGCGTCAGCCCGGGCAGCGGCGCGAGCGCCATGCCCGGAGGCGGGCCGCCGGCGCCCGGCGGCCCCACGGAGGGCCCCTGCGGCCTCGGCGCGAAGCCGTCCTCCGCCGGCGGGCCCCGCGGGGACGGCCCGAACGGCGGCATCGGCAGGGGGATGCCCGGGGGCGGCCCCAGGGGGCCCTGCGGAGGCGGCGCCAGCGGCGCCAGCCCCTGAGGCCCGACGTTGCGGAAAAGACTGCCGCATCGCGGACCATCGCGACCGGAGCCACGGAGACCCCACTCTCCTGCGGCGGAGGTGGCCTCGCGAGGCCGAGGGCCCAGCGAAAGCGCCCTGTGCGCACAAAAACTGGAACGCCGGGGCCCACAGACAGGACGTCGCCGACTTCCTTCCATATGCGGGGCGCCTTGAGGTCCCGAGCCCCCGCAGGGCCCTTGGGGGCCCCAGACGACCAAAAGCCTCCCGTCGCGATCTTCGCGGCGCAAGCACAGAGATCCGACGTCGTGATTCTTTCCATGCGGGATCCCCGGAAGTCTCGACCCATTCCCCAGGACCGGTTTTTCCTCCCGAGTCGTTTTTTGACGGTCCCGAGGCACGGCGAGAGCCCCTAGGGGCCGAAGTTTGCGAACCACCTCCGCCTCGATTTTTACAATGCGTTGGATCTCTGGGAAAGCATGTCTGGCTCTTGGGGGCGCCGCCACCGGCAGCGGCGGCAGCGCCGAGCCCGGCGCCGTGCCCGCCAGCGGCAGCGGGGAGGTCAGCGCGGAGCCCGGGGCCTCCACGGCGGGGAAGGGCAGGGCGCGGAGGCCCGCGCCGAGCTGGCTGCCGAGCTCGGCCAGCTGGAGGTCGAAGAGGGCCCGCAGGTCGCTGCCCGTCGCGGCCGCGGCGGGCTGCTCCGGCTGCCGCGTCGTGGGCGTGGCGCCCTCGGCGGCCTCCCCAGAGATCCAACGCGTTGAAAAAAAAGTCAAGACGGAGGTTGTTCACAAATTTTGGCCCCTAGGGGCTCTCGCCGGGCCTCGGGGCCGTCAGAAAACGACTCCGGATGAAGAACCGGTCCTGGGGAATGGGTCGAGACTTCCGGGGATCCAGCATGGAAAGAATCACGACGTCGGATCTCTGGGTCTGGGGAGACGAAGGTACCCCTTCGCGTCGTTAAACAACGCCGACGGGCACCTCTTGCTATCCTCTGCCTCTGGGGGGGCCCCTCCGGCCTCGGGGCCGCCAAGAAACCGCGCAGGATGAAACACTGTCCCCCCCGGGAGGGGGTCCAACCTCTGGAGGCCCACGCCATTTACCATCACGTAGGGGGTCTCGTGGTCTGGGGAAACATATAAGAAACTGCCGCTGTCGCTGCTTACTCCCCAGACCTCTCCCGGGGTGCGCTTCTGACCAGCATTGCGGGGCGAGTGCAGCCGTGGCGACGAGGGAGGGTCGGGGGAGACGAAAGGGTAGGGTAGCGAATCAGCTCACGCAGCTGGCTCTCCTGGCGCCCATGTATCGAAGAGTGGGCCCAGCGGCGGGGCCGAAACCAGCTGCATGCAGCAGATTTCGCCCCCCCCCCCCCCCTTTTCGTCCGGCCCGAGAGGGGCAGCGGCATCGGCATCTTTTCCTCCGCTGAGCCTCGGCGAGGTCCGGCCAGAGGCGCTTCTGGGCGGCGGTCAGCCCCTCTGCCTTCTGCGCCTTCTGCTTCGCCATCTCCGGCCACAGCAGCCTCTGCGCAGGCGTCAGGCCGTCGGCGTCGATGGACCTGGCGGAGTCCACGTCCACGCCGCGCATCTTGAACGCGGCGAGGCGCTCGGAGAGGGCGGCGGCGGCTGCGGCGGACTCGAGCTTCTCGGGCCTCTCCTGGGGCTCCTGGTATTGGAGGGAGAGGCCCGCCGAGACAGCGGCCGGTCTCCCTTGGCGGGCGAAGAGCGGTATGCAAACTGTTCCGCCATCGGGGGCGCCTGTCCCAAGGCGGCTGGACAATCGATGCCCCTACCGTAGCAGGTGGGGGTTGTAGTTTTTCAGCCGCCGGGGGACAAGCGCACCCGACGGCGAAGCTGCTTGCTTGACATCGTGCTTCGCGGCTAGTTCCCGCCTGGCCAGATCGGTCCCTCTAGACTTCTCTGGGGGATTCCACCACCAAAAGTTGGAGGGGGAGGGGGTCCGCCTCCTCCTCCTCCTCCTCCTCCTCCTCCTCCTCCTCCTCCTCCACCTCCTTCCCCCCTCCTATTTATGGTGGTGGTGGTGGTGGAACATAGGCCCATCAAAGGACGCCGCGGTCTCGACTGGCCGCCCTCTCCTGAGGCTCCTGCGGCTCTGGCGGCTCCTGCAGCTGCTTGCCACCCGTGCCGGATGCGCCGTCCTTGCGGCATGCAGGAAGGCACAAACCCCTCAGGGAGACGGGTCCTGGGTCCCGGTGCGTTCCCTTTGGACCAGCTCTTCATCTCGAGTCGTCTCTGGCGTTTGTCAAGCTGTGCTGTCAGGGACTCGTGCTTAGAATGTCGCGGCGGCGGCTCTGGCGGCATGCCCTGCAAGCTGATAGCGTTTCGCTCTGACTCGCAGGGCGGGGGGCTAGGAGTACCTCAGATCGCTGACGCTGAAGGAGATTGGGACGTGCTCAGCGTCTAGCGCCGAAGTGTGGTGCACCAGAATCCGCGGCGCGACACGCAAAACACACGTTTCTGGCAGCAGCTAGTGAGGTGTCACAAACCGCGGAAAGGTTACCCACCCGCAGGCGCGCGCGCTCGAGCCCCCCTCGGCGGTACTCGTCGATGGCGGCAGAGGCGGCGATGATGAGGACATGCCGTGCCGTGCCCCCATATGACGCTCCAACCTCCTCCTCCTCCTCCTCCTCCTCCTCCTCCACCTCCTCCTCCTCCTCCGCCTCCTCCAACTCCTCCTCCTCCTCCTCCTCCTCCGCCTCCTCCTCCTCCTCCTCCTCCTCCATCTGCGTCGTGCGCCCTGGGGCCCTCGGGTCCGAGGAGGGACCCGAGGCGAGCGGACCAAGCGCGGGCCGCGCACGCCCGCCCGCGCGCTCGCCCGCCCCCGCGCCGGGCCGCTCGCGGCCGCCCCCCGCCGGCGTCGCCGTCACCTCGTCCTTGTCCTCGTCCGCCACCACCCGGGCTGCCTCCTCGCCGCCTCTTCGTCGTCGTCCTCCTCCTCCTCCTCCTCCTCTTCGCCGCCGGGTCCTCATTCTCCTCCTCGCCGCCTCGTCCTCCTCCTTCTCCTCCTCCTCGCCCTCTGCCTCCTCCTGCTTCTCGCCCTCTGCCTCTTCTCCTCCCCTGCGCTCCCCGCGCCGCGGCGGGCGTCAGCCTCCGCCTCTCCTCGCCGCCTCTGCCTCCTCCTGTTTCTCGCACTCTGCCTCCTCCACAAGTACACCATCTGAATACTACGCTCCTCTCTCCCCTGGTGGTGGCGTCCGCGTAACTACTGCTTTCTAACACACAGGATTCCCTGGAAGTGGGTTTTCGCTGTGAAAAATTTCAAACGAAGACGTAAAACAAAGAAATGCTGCTCTCGCTGCAAAGCTGGCCCCATGTTCGCGTTACTGTTCGTTCCGAGTCGTGCTCCCGCTGCAACGCTGGCCTCATGTCCGCGCTTCCGCTCGTTCAGAATCGTGCTCCCGCTGCAGCGTTCGCGTCATTATTTCGAGCGCCATGCCACGCCATGGTTCTCGGTCCTCCCAAATAAGCTCCAAAATCTAAAACAAAATAGCGTCCCGAAAAACCATCGGAAGTGAAAACACATTCGGTGCCGAGTCGTTGATATTCTGGGCCGCAGAAGCCCTTTGGGGCGTCGCCACGACATGCTATGTCAGGCTACGCGTTCTCATTTTCTCGCTTCCTCCTGCGCAGAGTTTTTTCCAACAAAAATGCGACTCTCGCTGAAGCGCTGGCCTCAAGTTCGGGCTACCGCTCGTTCCGAATCGTGCTCCCGCTGCAGCGCTGGTCTCATGCGTTTCCGTTCGTTCCAAATCATGCTGCCGCTGCAGCGCTGGCGTCATTATTTCGAGTGCCATGCCACGGCATTGGCCCTTTCCAAGTAGGACCCAACATCTAGAAACTGGCCTCCCGAAAAACAATCGGTGTCGATTCGTTGGTTTGCTGGGCCGCGGAAGCCCCCCCCCCACTTTGGAGCGTCGCCACGCCATGCCATGTCAGGCGCGTCCTCATGTCCGCGTTGTCGCGTTGTTTGTGGTTTGTTTGTCTTGTTGTTTGTTGTTCCAATATGCTGCTCTCGCTGCTGCGTTGGCCCCATGTTCGGGCGACGGTTCTTTCCGAATCGTGCTCCCGCTGCATCGCTGGCCTCATTTCCACGCTTCCGCTCGTTCCAAGTCGTGTTCCCGCTGCAGCGCTCGTGTCTTTATTTCGAGCGCCATGCCACGGCATGGTTCTCGGTCAACCCAAGTAGGCCCCAAACTGTAAAACAATATCCTCCCGAAGAAACCATAGGAAGCGATTACACATTCAGTGTCGATTCGTTGATATTCTGGGCCGCAGAAGCCCTACCCCACCTTGGGGCGTCGCCGCGCCATGCTATGTCATGCTACGCGTTGATCTTCGACACCATGCTACGCCATGGAATGCTATGCCATGCGACGACATCCGACTGTGCAAATAGAAAGCAGATTCACGCCATGGGAAGGGATGGGAGGGAGGGTAGGACGTCAGATATTACGCGAGCGCACCTAGTTTGTCCTCCTCCCCCTCTGCGCTCCCCGCGCCGCGGCGGGCGTCGGCCTCCTCCTTGCCTCGCCTCCTCCTCCTCCTCCTCCTCTTCCTCCACAGTTACTCAATATGAATACTACTATCCCTCTTCCCCTGATGGCGTGCTGGGAATATTCGACCCCCCCGCGTACCGTTTTTTACACACAGGATTCCCGGGAGTTGGGTTTTCGCCGGCGTTTTTTTCAAAATGCTGCTCTCGCTGAGGCGCCGGCCTCATTTCTGCTCCCGAATCGTTCCGAATCGTGCTCCCGCTGCAGCGTGGGCCTCATTTTCGGATCGGTGTTTTGCCTCCGTCGTTCAGGATGGCGTTCTCGCCCCAGCGCGGGCCTCTTTCTCGCGCGCCCATCCGCCCGCCACCACCGCGCCGCACCACGCCCCGCCCCGCCGCACGCACACCCACCGCCACTTCCACCCACCAACGCACGCACGCACGCACGCGCACCACCACCGCGCACCGCCACCACCACCGCACTACCCCACCCACCACCACCACGCTACACCGCGTCACGCCACATCACACGCGCGCGCGCACGCACACACACGCACGCACGCACGCACGCACACGCACGCACGCACGCACGCACGCACGCACGCACGCACGCACGCACGCACGCACGCACGCACGCACGCACGCACGCACGCACGCACGCACGCACGCACGCACGCACGCACGCACGCACGCACGCACGCACGCACGCACACACACACACACACACAGACACACACACACACATACACACACATACACACGCACAGACACGCACAGACACAGACACAGACACAGACACAGACACAGACACAGACACACACACACACACAGACACAGACACAGACACAGACACAGACACACACACACACATACACACACACACACCACCACCGCCACCACCACCACCGCCATCACGCACGTACGCACCTGGCCCACCACCAAACCACCAAGACGCCACACCACGTCACACCACAGCACACGCGCACACACGCACACACACATACACACCACCACCACCACAACAACCACAACCACGCACACACGCACGCACGCACGCGCACCACCACCCACTGCGCACACGCGCGCGGAGCCACAGGTCCGCTACGACACGCGTCCGCGGATAGAGAAAATCAGCGCCATGGTAAGGGATGGGAGGAAGGGGTAGGATGCCAGATGTTGACGCGAGCGCACCTAACTTGTCCTCCTCCTCCTCCCTCTCCTCCTCCACCTCCTCCTCCTCCTCCTCCTCCTCATCCTCCTCCTCCTCCTCGCGGCCTCGCCCCCCTCCTCCTCCTCCTCCTCCTCCTCATCCTCCTCCTCCTCGCCCTCTGTCTCCTTCTGTTTCTCGCCCTATACCTTCTCCTCCTCCTCCTTCACCTCCTCCTCCCTTCTGTTCCTCCTCCTCCTCCTCCTCTGCGCTCCCCGCGCCGCGGCTGGCCCCTGCCTCCTCCTCCTCCTCCTCCTCCTCCTCCTCCTCCTCCTCCTCCTCCTCATCATCTCCTCCTCCTCCTCCTTCTCCTCCTCCTCCTCTCCTCCTCGTCGTCGTTCCTCCTCCTCCTCCTCCTCCTCCTCCTCCTCCTCCTCCTCCTCCTCCTCCTCCTCCTCCTCCTCCTCCTCCTCCTCCTCCTCCTCCTCCTCCGCGCGCTCGCCCCATCGGACAGTCTCGATCCCTACACGCTAGGGGGACGATTGTGGCTCACGAGCTCCCTCGGGGCCATTCCTTGAGGCCTGGGGGGAGCTGCTCCTTGGTGAGCTTCAAAATGGCCTTGTGCCCCCCACCTCCGACACCAGAGGATTGCACTGCACCTTGAATTTCCTGGAGGCCCGAACCTTCCAGCACCCGCACCTCCGACACCAGAGGACCCCACGGCACACGGCGAGGTGGGGTCGGTGGCTAGGATGGATGGGGGGCGGGCCTCCAGCGGCGGGGAGGGCGGCTCTGGCGGGCTCCTGCGCTCCCGCCGCGGGCCTGGCGGCGGGGCACGGGAGCTTGAGCCAGCGAGCGCAGCACCTCCTGTGGGTCTGCTTGCCGCACCTGGCACAAGAAACTTGGTCGTCGCGGGCCTGGGGCCAGTGGGCGGTCACCTCTAGAAGGTGCTGGACAGCGTTGTCACTCCGCTCCTTGCGCTGAGCCCTCTTAGTCTCAGCGGGAGCCTCTTCCACTGGGTAGTGGGTCCACCACATCATCTGGACAGCCGCCAATCGCCCTCGGACCTGTTCTGCGAGTGTGTCCAAGGCCAGCACTCGGTCGACCAGGTCCTGGGGCACGGCGGCAGAGGCGGCAGCCTGTCCAGCGAATTCGTCGGCCTGTTCATTCACATACAGGGCCCAGGCGGGAAAACGGGCGCGGACCTCAGGGTCCGTGGCATGGCTCTTAACTTTAAGAAACTTGACCTGGCCCGTGCGAGCCCCTAGGACCCTCCAAAGCTCGGCCCAGAGCCTACGATTGGAACGAGCTCGCCTGCGGGGACCCCTGTGGTACCCACGGATGAGGTAGGCCGAGTCGGTGACCACTATAAGGTCCCCCTGGGTATGCTTGAGGAGCTCGGTGGCCCCTTTGAGCTCCGCCCGATTGATGGTCTGGAGCCCTATGACATTCCCTTGGAGAGTGCCAAGGAGGTTTAAATCTTCATCCCAGACCCCTGCACCCCATCCTACACGCCTCAGGCGGGGATCGGAAGAGAAAGCACCCCCCGAGCCATCCACCGAACCGAGGCGCCAACCGCCCCTCGGCTCGGGAGGGTCCAGGAAGGCGCCAGTCCCAACTAGGACGGGGCGCTGAGGTGCGGTGTCCTCTACAGCCTTCAGAGCGAGACCTGCTGGAACGAACCCTCGGAGCCACAGACAGGCTGGCTGGTCGCCCCCTTGAGCGGTGTCCACTAGGTCCTCCGTTGCCTGGATGAGGGGATGGTCGGCCTGGAAAAGGAGCGGGCACCCCCAGAACTTGTGATAATCATCGCAGTGATGGTCTCCGCACAACGGGCACACCGAGTCGTCTGCTAAGCCTGCCTCGAAGCGTCGCCTGGGGCTCCAGGCTGAACAAGCACAAACTGCCTTGAGCGCCTTCGCGAGGTTCTTCTGTCCGTCGCGATGCATCCGCTCGATCTGCCACCGCGAGCTCTTGATATCGATTCCATCCTGTACCCCTCCTGCTGCGTGTCCCCCTTGGGCCCCACTCCAGACTCGATGGTGGAGGAACTGCTGGAATCTGCACATGAAATAGTCTTGCTCCTGGAGATTCCCAGGTCGGACTCGTAAAACCTGGCCGGATGGGCTTGTCCAAGCCCAGGCTGAGTTGGGCTGCCACCCCAGGTCGAGGAGGGTGGCCACAACCGCGCTGAGATGGCTGACAACATTGTTCCACCGCCTGGGCCGCTGGAGCTTGGTGACCACCTTGGGCCAGGCGAGCTCGATCCCATTCCTGAGGCGCGGCTGGCTCTCCACCAGCTCGAACCACATCTCAGAAAGATTGACGCGATGGATGGTCTTCACCCAGAGGCCCCCCTCCATGAGCTCCTTCCCTGTCATGTTCCAGTCCCCCCCGATGATAAAGGGCAACTTGTGGGCTGTGAGGAAGGTGGCGATCTGGCTGGTCACTTGCGTATTGTACTCGTTATACCCTGCATCACTTTGCAGATAAGTGGAAACCAAAATCAGGCTGTGCCCTCGGAGACGGAGGTGGCAAGCTGTCCACCCTTGCCCACCGTAGGGGGGCTGGTCACGTCCTTTCGCCCCCATGGTGCGGGCGTGGGAGCAGAGGCTGCGCAGGGCGAAGAGGCCTACCCCTCCAGGGGACCCCGTCGCCGAAGTCCTGACAGCTGGGCAGACGTAGGACCTGCACCCTTGCTTCTTCATGAATTTGTGCACGTCACGCAGTTTGTCTCGTTGAACGTGCATTTCACTAAACATAATGACATGCGGC